GTGACTTTGGACAGGTTACCCAATCTCATATTTGGCTTCCTCATCCGCAAGGAGAGGGTGCCATCGGTGCCCATTTCACGGGACTGATTTGAAGATTAAAGAGATGATGCGTGTAAGGCAACCGGTACAATGGAAGTGCTTCTTGAGACTGACTTGGTGTCTGACGCCTTGCAGCAGCTCAGCCGCCCTCCCCGGGGAGACCTGGGTGAGAGGCTCCCGCTACAAGCAGACCTGAGTGGAAGTCGGAAGCTTTCGGTGTCCTAAAAGCACTCAGCTACCGTCCGCTTCGAGTTCCCATGCTCTTTCCTGTAACTCTGAGTTTTTAAAATCTCATTAAGCTCAAGAGGGGGTTAAAAAGCCAAGAAAGTTCTCCGTTTTTGAGCATTAACAGATCAGGCTAGAAACACTGGCTCTCCCACAAGAAGACACACGCTCATGGGATTTTCCTAGTGGTCCCCTAATAGCCAGGAGGCCTGTCGTCAGCAGCTGGATCAGGGTGGGGTAAGGGATCGTTTTTAAATTGTTCACTTAAAAAAAATTGACGTTTTTCCAGCCAGCAAAACATGGCTGGGCCCTCCGCAGGGGCTGCCTCTTTGCCGCGTCCTCAACGATGATGGGACAGGCCAAAGATTGCAGCTGGAGTCCCTGGGGCGGCCCAGAGAACCAGCGGTGTCTGCACAGAGTTCCAAAAACGGGGAACTATTCACCCAAGAGGAGGGAGCAAAGGGCTCCTTGGAGGAAAGAAAGTTTTTCATCATAACCCATCCTGCTCTTTCTCCAGCCACTGCAAAACCAAGCTGAGGGTTTACTAGAAATTGCACTTTCTGAAGGGCTCCCTACTGAAAAGGCCATAAGCAGGTTGTTGACATAGTTTAAGGAGGGAGGAGGCTGATGTGGGGGACTGAAGAACCAAATCAAAAATGGAAGAGAAAACTTCCAGCCAATTAAAACAGTTTGTGCACCTAGGGAAAATCGTATGTGTATATCTATGAAGAAATTAAAAGAAACTTAAGAGCATATGAGCCCAAGCAGACAGATCTATATTGGTATTTCAGTTTCACCACTTCTTAGCTTGTGTGACCTCCCTGATCCTCGGTCTCCTCATCTACAAAATTATAGCATTCCACTCACCTATTTGGAGGATTCAGTCAGTTAATGCATGTATAGTAGTGTCTAGTCCCTAGTAAGACAGTAATAAATGTTAGTTGATAGTGTCGGTTGAGAAGGCAGAAGCCTAAAAGCTAACAGGGTGGGAGAGGGTGAAACTGTTGAGTTCTCGAGAAAGCCCTTATCTCCTCATGCTCCCATCATACTGAACTCACCTTTCTCTCCTTTCTCCCCCTCACCTTCCCCTTCATGCCTTGGTCCCTGCTGTCCTTGTGCTTGGGACACTTTTCCATTCGCCTAAGTGGCCAACTTCTCTCCATCTTTCAAGACCATCTCCAACGTCCCTTCTTCGCAAAGCTTTCTCTAGCAGCTACCTCCCAGTTGGAAAGGATCACTCTTCGTCGGAGCCTGAGACTACCTGCCACACACTGCAAGTGTCGCAACACCACATGGTAGATGCTGGTTCTTGTCCACCTGCCCATCATCGAGGCCAACTGTGAGTGCCCTGGGGACAGAGCTCACGTCTTGTACTTCCTGGTTTCGGCAGCTCCTGGCACACCAGAGGTCCTCAAGAAGTGTTTGCTAAGCGGAAGCATAACGTGGACGGTGTTTATTCTAAAAAGATGATGGCTCGTTGTTCTCCGCTCTAAGGAAAAACAGAGGAAATGGACAGAAGCTGCATCCTGGGAAACTTCAGTCAGACACAAACAGTTCCCTTGGTGGGAGTGTTAGAGACCAGACCAAGTTCCCCTGGGACAGCGTGGAATTTCCTGTAAGGGTCTTTAGAAAAGGAATACTTCTTATATTGTGGGTGATTCTGATGTGGGTTTGCTTGAAGGCAGGGCTCCAGCCTGGCATGAAGTTCAGGAAATCATCCATAAGTAATTCAGATGGCAGTGATGCGCCTCTTGGCTCCTGATCAGCTGGGTAACCAGATGGTTTCTTGCACTGAGCACCAGCGAGGAGGCTGGGAAAGAATGTGGCTGCATGTGCCTCAACAGGGGGGTGGGGAGTCTCTCCAACGAGCCTGAATCCCGGGACCCGAGTGAATGGAGTAGCTTGTCAAGGATCACAGAGTCACCCAATGACCCAATTTTTTCCTTTCGACCACACGTGTAAAGTGAAAGAGGAAGAAGGAACTGGAGTCCAGGGCTTCCCTGCCTCCTTTCACTAGCTCAGCCCCCCAGGTGCTACCCGGCACCTGCCAGGGGCCAGCTCTGTGCTTATGGGGGTGTTAGGAGGGACACAGGCATCAAACATTTTATGATAAACAGCGAATTAATTACAGGTAGAAAGTACAATGAAAGGGCAAAATGGTGTGATAGGGAACAGGTGGGAAAAGAAAGACGGCTCCCCTTCACCAGCATTCCTTCATCTTATGTAACCCCGACAAGGCGAGCATGACTCTCCCGGATCTATTTAACAAATAACAGTTCAGAAAAAGCAGAAAAACGTTAACAATTAAAAAGAAAAAGTCTTTCCTATCATTGCCCACCCCCTCAAAATGCAAAAAAGGACATAGAGTCACAGTGCCAAAAGAAACACATTAATTTTAGGGTGGACATAAGACCTGCGGGGTAAAATGTGATTTGGTACCCAGAGAAAGGACCTATGGATTCAGGTCTTAGCAAACAGAGGCTGGGGTTGGCCTCCTGGGGTCAACGACACAGGAGACTTTACAGATACACAGTGTGACAGGAGTTATTAAGTGCTGTGGATACAGTGGGTCGAAGTTTTGACCATTTCAATTGAGAACCGTCCTGCTTTGGTCCCCACTCCCTGACGCTGACCGAGCAATGCAGGGTGACGTCCTGAAGGACACAGCCCTGGCGGGGAACGCCTGCAGACTCTGCGATGTGGTGAACCTCACCCACCCCGAGCGATACCCGTGGTCGTTAAAGGCGCTCTTGGCTGAACTCCAGCAATCCTGCCTAGCCCGGGACAGCTAACTGGTTGCAGCCTAGCCTGGTGCTATTAAATGCAGGGCGAGCCAAAGACACTGACATATTTGGGTAAGAGAGATGTGGTATCCGAGTGAAGGTAGAAAAAGAATTGAAAAAAGAAGGAATTAAAACCCCCATTTAATTCCAAAGATAGCAAACATGTTTGAGGTCTGAGAAAATCTTTCATTTATGTGATTTCAAGTGTCAGTCAAGGCCATTCCTAACCAACGTGCTTTCATGACCAATCGTGTGGCAAGAACTAGTAAGTGAAAAACACCAAACCAACCACAAGACGAAACACAATTTAAGCTCTGCTCTGAATGGCTGCTAAAAGCAACATGAAAATGAAAACTTTTCCTGTTAAACAGTAGAAGTGATCGGGAAGTCTGGGGGAAGGCCGACTACAGAGATAAGACACAGATCCGTACATACATTTCATCCTCCACGTGATGGGCATCGGACATGAGTGCCACTCAGAAGGTCTGACCTAAGCAGCGCACGACCGCACGCACGTACAACACCGCAGATGCTGGATTCTCCAGGGCAGGGTGTATGCTCGGTGAAGGCAGCAGGCGCCGTGAATCCGTTCTGTTCATAGGAGGAAATCAGTCCTCATTAAGTGGCAAACGAGGACAGTATAAACAGCTCACGTGTGACTCACAAATTCAAATAGTCACCCGTCAGAACCAGGCACCAGGGGAGACTCACTCCCCTTCAGCTTGTCTGGGGCAAGCTTCTGGAGCAGGAAGCCTCCCCCTCCATGCCGAGTCCTGGCTCCCCCTGTCCCCTTCTTCTGGCTCCCCTGCTCCCACAGCAGAAGCCAGGAGCTGACTGTGAACCTGGGTCTCAGGCTGCATCTTAGCAGGTACCCGGGGAGGGGGAGATGTGGGGATGTGAACAAATTACATGAGTCAGCCTGCGAGAGTATGTTACAAGTAACTGATTGACAACCTGTGTGACACACCCAGCTGTGTGGAGGGTACTGTCTGCGTTCTGGCTCTTTGATTACCCCTTACTGTGTTAATGAAGTTCCAGAAAATGTTTGATTTGAAACTTGAATTGAGGAAGAATAAAAAATGTACTCTAGGGAAAGACAAATATCACATGATATCACTTATACGTGGAATCTAAAAAAACGAGACAAATGAACTTACAAAACAGAAAGAGACTCACAGACACAGAAAACAAACTTATGGTTACCAAAGGGGACGGGGGGGGGCGGGGGTGTGGCGATAAACTAGAAGTTTGGTATTAATAGATCCAAACCACTAGATATAAAATAGGTAAACAACAAGGTCCTATTGAATAGCACGGAGAACTATATATATTCAGTATCTTGCAATGGCCTGTAATGGAAAACAATATGAAAAAGAATAAGGTATACAATATACATACACACATACATATGTACAACTGAATCCCTGTGCTGTACACCAGAAACTAACACAACATTGTAAGTCAATTGCACTTCAATTAAAAAAAAATGTACTCCGGGAGACAAGTCAGAAACATTCAGCGGAACGTGACTCTTCGGGGCTTCATTGTTTAACATGCCTGACAGCTCCCCCTCCAGTTCCCTCACAGTTGACCTTCTCCCCAAAGGAACCCAGAGCTCCCCAGAGCACGTCAGAAATCAGCACCGAAGTACACTGTATAGCACAGGGAAATATACACAAAATGTTATGATAAATCACAGAGAAAAAAGTGTGACAATGAGTGTGTATATGTCCATGAATGACTGAAAAATTGTGCTGAACACTGGAATTTGACACAACATTGTAAAATGATTATAAATCAATAAAAAAAAAAAAGAAATCAGCACCGAAGTTGTCGCCGGTGACTGCAGGAGCACAGACCCGTGACCTTTGATCATGGTCTTTGCCTGTTTGACAAAAATATTAAAATGTGCCTCATGTCAAAACTTTACCAGAAACTCAAGAAACAAACGCATCACCAAATGGAAAAGTCATTTAATTCAAAAATCATACTTCCACTCATTTCATCGAGATTGTCACATAAACCAACTGAACGTAAGAAGCCAAGTTTCAGAGGCCACTTGACAGAAACTGCATTTTCTCTTTAGATATGCTTAGTGACGCAAAAGCACAGGTTTTTTTTTTTCCTTATAAAGCCTGAACATGGCAAAACTGTTTTACGAATCACAGGGAAAAAGCTCTAATCTAGTCACAAATTACTGTTTAATTACGAAAATGGATTCTACACACTAGTCAATATTCAATACTGAATTGAAGTTTAAAACAGTGCATTTATGATTTTTTTAAAAAAAAACATTAAAGTGCCATTTTAAGTAGTTTACTGATATTATGTCCCACAGCACTTTATAATATACTCAAAAGTAGCCTAAATTAGGAATTAAGCATGCAAATATTGTCTTCTCTGAAATATGGACAGAATGCCTTTTAGAGTGCTTGTGAACACTGGCCTAGGAATCGCTACCGGCTGTTTACAAGTGTGATCTTTTTTCCAACATGACTCTTAATAAGTTAATGAGGACTACAGCTGTAGACCATAACCATTCGATAAACACGGACGAAGTTTTCAAATGGCACTACACTGACGTCTTTGATCATTTTGATAGTCAATCAACAGCCTGTCTTGCTTCTCTAGTTCTCAACCTTCAAACCTTAAAGGCTGTCAAGGCTCAGCGGCTGCCAGCTTGTGTGGGTTTCTAGAAGAGTCTACATCTTTACATATATAAATGTGAGCTGTACACACACACACACACAAACACATACTGATATGTAAATACTTAAGAATCATCATAAGATGAACCTCTTAGCGCAGGTACGAGGTTGACCCTGGCACCTGAAGACCCAAGGAAGCAGCTTGTAGGTGTCTGTTTGGACAACTTTGTAGAAATGGTTGATGTAGAATGGTGGCGGGTGTCCTGGCCTCTCTAGGACTGCTCCAGGTAATTCTGACATTTTGATGATCACTACTCGTGGTTCTCAAGGACTACACCAAAGAGAGTTTTGACATAGTAAGGGTTGCCACCCTTACGTGGGTCTAGGACTGTGCCAAGCCTTTGCTCTCTAAAGCATTCTGCCTTCAGAGATGTTTTCATCTTGTAGTCTCCTGCAAAACTGCTGTAAAAGCCTTAGTTGTGAATTTCCTCTGTGATAGATTTTTCCCCCTATATTTATCCCTCTCATAAAAAATCTTAAGTTCTTCAGTATGGTTTGCCTTTCTCTTTTTGCTCCCAGCATTACTTTACATCCAACCCTTTTTCTCCTAACAATACATGTGCTACCATTAGAAGATCACATCTCAGCAAGGGCTGCCTCTGAAAGATGCCTGGATTCTCTGTACGGCCTCTCCTGCTTTGGGGAGCTGTTTAGTGACAGCAGTACTGTAGGCAGTGAAAGGAAAAAAGCTAATGATTACTTGCTGGAGTCTGGTCTCAGGCATGCAGGAGGTTTGTGCAAGGTCCATTCCTCTGCTGCTGTTGTCATCTGGATGCAACACTGACAGAGAACTGGTCTAGCACTCAGCGCACCAGTGTGGTTGCCAAACACATTTGAGCAGGATGAGATACATTTTTGGAACACCAGCGCAGGGTGTGTGAGAAGACACCCAGCTGACTTAAAAGAGGTGTGGGGCAGGGTTGTCTAGGTAACTGAGTACTGTCTGCTGTGCTAGATATGGTAGATAACTCACTAGTAGAACACTCAGGAAGTTCCTCTTAAAGTCAGGTAGCTAAGAGGTTTTTTGGTTTCTTCAAGGCTGGCTACCTACCTACTTGGGTATCATGGTTGCTCCTAAAACATTCAGAATTAAAGTGAACTGTGAGTGCCATGAGAGCCACTGTTGTACCTGGGAATCTAGAAAACTGAGCGGTCCTGACTTGCTTTTGGAAACAGAAGCGAGAAGATGAAAGGTGCCAACGGATGGTCATGAATATCTGGTCACGTTATCTTTACTTGATTATTTCTGTCTGCCTCCTCCTCAATCACGGGTGTTTTTGGTCAAGACAGAGCTTTCGGTGTGACTGGGATGGCCTATTTTCAAGAGACACAAACTCTGACGGCAGAAAGACTTCCCTTTGAGCTACAGGTGTGGCACACATAAGCACACAGTCCTGGAAAATGCTGAAATGACCTCATCACCAGCATGGCTCTGTGCTAATGCCAGTTGGCCAATACTTGAATGCTTGCTTTCTGTGTTATCTTCTTGCCTTTCTGTCCAAAAAGCACTACTCCGCAAGAGGAGAGGAACTGGAATTATGTTAGGAAAAAAAAACCACAACAGTTTGGTCTGTTAGAGGAAAACACATATTGGCTGTAGAAATACGAAGCTAAAAACTGGCCCCAGTCCTAGGATTCCAAGGCAGGCAGTGCAGGGTCCATCCCTCTATATTTAGATTTGAAGGCAGAAGGGAGTATCATCAGCCTTGAGCAAGTCAGGAATTTCCTTGGTGGGGGAAGGGCTTGAAACGATTATCTTCTCAAGGCATTGCATCCTGCAGCCAAGGGATTCTGTGAGTGCCTTGAGGAGGAGTAACCTTGGGACCCCAGAACAATGCAGGCTGTGCGCGCCTACCTGATCCCAGGGCCTTCCGGAAGAAACACGAGGCTCCTGGCAAAGCTCAGGGATTTGGGTCAACTGTCTTCCACTCTGATACCCAGTCCACTCCCCTCACCTGCTCTAAGACCCCCTATCGCAGCAGTCAGAGCTAGAGGTGGGAAGCACAGACGGGGGGAGGGGAACACCCATTTTCCGTCTTCAAGTTCCTACTTATTTGTTGGCTCCTATTCTGAACAGCGTCTCCAGGTCTGTGGCCATGAGGGAAAAGGGGAGCCTGGCTGGGGAAAGGGAAACAGGGCAGCCATCTGTCATGGGCCTGGCATGGCCCAGAGAAGCCAGGAAGGGGTCTACCTAAAAATTCCCATTGGCAGCAGCCCCATCTCTCTCGGCTTCAGATCAGGGCCAACTGAGGAGGGAGGGACTTTCCAAGTGGTCAAGCTGGAGCCAAGTGTCAACAGGCACGCTTCAGCAAGGAACTCCCAAAGCCAGGGCCTGGGCCTTCTGGTCCCCCTACATTAGCTCTAGTTAAGAGTCCATTGGGGCAGGTGACAATTTAAAATGTCGAATGTGCTAAAAGCATACTCTATTTGGAAAGCACAGCGGTATAGGGGCTGCTTGTCCCTTCTGGCTCCTGTGAACAGGTCCTCAAGCTGTTCCAAGTCCGCAAGGAGCAGGTGTAGCCTTTCCTTCTTGGGTTTTCAGTGGTAGCTTTCCTGAGTCCTACCTTGGTCCTGTCCAGTCTTAATCCTTGTTCCCTGATTCAGTGGTAGCATCTCACTTGCTGCTTGGTGAGCTCCTGGGTAATAGTGTAATCCTTGAGCTGACGAACCGAATCACAGCGCCAAACTCCTATTAACTTTCAAACCATCTGTAACAGCACAATCTCCACCCCTCTTTGGAGTTTTTCCCCCTTTTATAATGGGGTCATAGGAAATCTGAGATGAATAGGAGGGGGCAAAAACTTGTTTAGGGAGAGGGGAAGCAGCAGCATCTTGAGAACTAAAGATCCTAAGAAACCAGTTGTTCTTAGAACTTAGACACACACAACATTTGCAAACTAGCTTAGCCTCTTTCATAAAGCCTTAGAAGATGTGCAGAAGAGTCAGCCTTAAGGAGCACGCAATTATCCCATCTCTTTCTGTCCTGGTATCCTGGGGTACCAAGAAATACACCTGAGAAGAAAAATGAAAAAAAAAAAAAAACCCAAAACGAAAAAAAAAAACAAAAAGACCCCACCTTAACCCCTGGCCTCACCTATTTAAATCCTGAGCTTCATCTTACTACCAGGTAGGAGTCCTTTGAAAAGTTCATTGCCTGGAGATGCTCTTTCCATCTCCAAATCCAAAGACCAAGAGATGCTCAGAAACACATCTGGATAAAGAAGACTGAACACCACTGACGTGTCATGTCCACCAATGAGAACCAGAAGAGAGTGTGCAAGAACTATCTCCTCATTCCTCAAGGCCACAGAGGGCGTGACCTTGACTCCCTGCAACCTGGCGTCCTCTCTCTCCCTCTTACACACACTTGTTCAGAAATCAGAGCTTAAACGCGTGGAGCTTCAAGAATATCAAATATAAAACTTTGCCATAAAGTATTTCAAATCACTCTATTTACAATTTATCTTTTCAAAAAAAAATGTAAAAGATACAGTAATTCAACACAATTCAAGTTTTTCTTTTCTTCTTTAAAGTTCCCTAAAAAGGAATTCCAGAGGCAGGAAACACTCTGGAGAAAGGCTGCCCTCCCGAGGGGCTCCGAAGGAGCTCGACAGTCCCTTAGTCTGGAGTTGGTCCAGAATCACTCCTGCAAGGACATTCAAATGCGGAAGATACTGGAACTCTCTTCTTTGGAGGCCAAGTGAATTGGAAACATCCAGGCCAAACTTCCCCACCCAAGGCGGCCTTCCACAAGACCCAGCCCCTTCTGGTCCAAGTAGGAAATTCTCTTTCTCAGAGGGTACCTGTCTCACCCTCCATGCCCCGACCTTTTGGTGTCCTCCTAAATCACAATGGCTTACGATATTCGTCTCATGCCTCAAAAGCCTGAGGAACAATTCCCTTTTTCTGAGTAGCAGTAAACATAGATGCCCTTTTAAACTAGAGGTCAAGGGGCTAGCCCAGGAATCAGGCCTGAATACCACCAGGGCACCAGTGCTCAGCAGCCCAGGGCACCGCCTGGGGGGCCGGTCAGTGATGGCCTAGAGGTGGACAAGCACCAGGGGAGGGATGGGTGAATGGGAGGCCACAAGGGAATGAATCAGAGGGAGGGGGTCACCCATTGGGAGGCAGCACATTGCCCTCTGGAAAGCAAACACGAGTTGCATGGAAGAACAGAAATATGAAGCCTGTATGAAATTTAATCTCAAGAGGTTACTAGAGTTTGCTCCAAATATATCCTGGTGCTGCTGAAACTCATCAGAAAGGGAACAGCTCCCAGCTGCTATTTGCTCTGCCCCCAAGGAGACCACTCTCCTGCCTTGATCGTCCGCTTCAGGTTGTTGGAAAACCATTCAAAAAACGACCGAAAGTGGGGAAGGGAAAAAACACACGTCGCGCAGAAGAGTATGTGTGATTCTTCGGTTTGGTTTCAGAGTAGGCTGGGTTGCCGTGGTTACGAGGCGATGGCAGCCCTCGGTGGCAGAGAAGTTCCTAGCTTGGGGGAGGGGGCCGTGGGGTGCGTGTGCTCCCTTGCATGAGAGGACTGGACAGAATTCTGCTGACGCTGGGCCAACGGCTGCTTGAGAGATGGTGAGAGATTGGATCTTATGTAAACAGTGCCGTAACCCCTCTCCATCCTGCCTGCGAACAGGCCCAGCTGCCTGGAGCACTGTGGGTCTCAAGTAATTAGAGGTGGGATAGACAGAGCATCTACTGTAAACAGAGGCAGTGGATCCAGCCTGGATCTCAGGCACTGCCCGGCCCTGCCAGAGCCGGCCACACTGCCTGCTCCTGGGGACTACTTCTGCCTCACTTACTCCCTTGTTCAGAAGGTTGGGGTTTGGATGACTGTCGAAACAACATGGACACCCCCCATTTAGGGTGCTACACGAGAGCGATGGCTTTGTAAGCCTTTCCCTTGGTGATCAAAGTCAAGTGGCCTCCTCTGCTGATCTACTGTTTTGTGCAGTATCACCGCATGTCAGCTGAGATGATCATGGGGATGGGTGACACCAGAGTTCACAGAAACATTTGTGTCGACAGGTAGCAGCAGAGTCAGTCACCCTGCATTTCTCAGCGGCGAAGAGGAGCGGCCCACAACACTGGCATCGGCGGTCGTCACGGACACCGTGGAAAGCTCAGCAGCTCTGCTGGGGCCCATGGTTAGAGGAACTCCACGTAGTTCTCAGGGATGAGGCCCGTCTTTCCATTCAGAGTCCCCTCCAACCAGCCAGGCTCCTGAGACGGATGAACTGTACAGGGAGGCGGAGAGGGAACAAGAAGAGATGACGTTACAGACGGGGCAGGAGGCGGACGTGCGCTGTGTGTGTGTGCAGGAGGTTTAGGGGCTGAGTGTAGCTGCTCATCACATTATGTAACGCTAGGACTTGCTTAAACCAGAGGTTCTGAACCTACTGGGGGATCTGATAAAGGTCGTTTTAAACTTTCTCCACAACAAAAAGTGAAAAGACACAGACATTCAAAATTCTGCATACAATTTTAGGGGTTTCATGGACTTTCTGAAGTTTCTGGTTTAAACTATAAAGAAGTCATAGATTCCTGCTTTTTAGGTTCAAGGTCACAGTTATGATTCTCCATCTATATATTTATGTGTGCATGCACGCATCCATCCATCCATGTTCTCCTCTAGCTACCCAGTGCAGATGATGTACCAACAAAAGTACCCATGGAGGACGCTAAGACCCAGTCCTTAAAGATACCTAGCTCCTAATCATGCATATTACTTCCCTTTGAATCCGTATCCTCTGCTTCTAATTTCCTTACAGATTCCCTCTGCATTTAAAAAAATTTTACTAGTCTTTGAATAGCCCCCTCTTGGTTCCAACCATACGCTTCCTTAGCTTTCTTTCCTGTTCTCTAGAATTTTCCTCCCTCCTGTATACAAGTCTGAAAGCTCTCCTCTCCCTTTCTGAACCGCAATTTGCAAAATTTCTACCGCTTTGATTTTTCCATATCCAAAGAAACATACCCAATATGCTGTGACATCACAATCCATCTCCATGGAAACTACTGTGATATTGTAAAAATTGTATACAATCCAGCTAAGTCTGCAAAGCCGTCGATGGCACGAAGGAAGAGCAAGGGAATCGCAGACTCAGAGACGGGGCTGTTCACGCTTGTGAACCGGGAATATACACACCACTCTTGGGCGAGGCAGGACATTTGCTCTGGATGTTTTTAGGAAAACTCCAATTTTCTGAGATTGTTTGGAGAGAATGAATTTTTCCCTATTCCCTTCCTAGGCTAATTAAGTGACTTCCTGAGCTTATTTTAGACAAGCATTTCCGCCTCCCAAACTATTAGCATACTCAAGCTTCCGTTTGCAGGGAAAGAAGAAGAGAGGCCAAAGGAAGTAAACGGGGAAGCAGCAGCAGGACGCACACTGGGACTCACAGAACATCAGCGTTGACCTTGGCTAGATCGTGGAGACTTTCTAAGGAAAAGACAAGGTCAGACATCGATGAGCTGGCCTCCAATGTGCTTGCGTGATTTCATAGCTCTAGGCTTTCGGAATAAATCCAAGTAGTGAGGGTATTTGGGATTCACGACACCATACAAGGAGGAGTCTGGGAAAGGAGCGTCAGGGAACGAAGAATACAACATGACTTAAAAGCAACCCAGCTTCTCCAGTGCCCCAGCTCTCCCAGCCCACTGCTAAGATACTAGCACCCAAACACCCCTGCTGTCTTGTCTTCTGCCCATCTGTCCGGCTGATGCTGCCAAGATCACCTCATTTTCTGCAACCTATCAGGCAGTGATAATACAACGCTCTCCCTGCCAGTGGGTTCTTGTGAGGGTTCAAGGAGCCAACGTGGAGAAAGCACAGTTAATGTTCATTACGGGCGAGCCAGTAGGCGACCCTGCGTCATTTGTCCAGTCACTTGGACTGGTCCGTAGGACTCTCCTGGTAAAACCTGAGTAAGGGTCTGGTCTCAACACCCACCAAAGCTTGGGCAAATGTCAAATGTTCAGAACCCAAATCAAGCAAATCAAATTCACCCCTAAACAAAAGACTGAAAAAGAATAAACCAACTAAATAAACAAAAGAAAAGAAAAAAAAGACCCCTCCCACTTTGCAGCAGAGCTCTTGGTTGAGCTGTTATTCCCCTGGCTGCATGGAGTCCATCTCTCTCAGTCTCCCTTCCTGGCCAGCTGTTCAAACACAGCTCAGGTGCAGAGGTGGTAACGTCTGCAAACATTAGAGAGGGAATGTGCAGAGTAAGGGATGAACCGGAGGGGACAAAGGAGGCCCTCCAAACTGGAGAACAAAAGATATGGCACAGGGGACGGCTGGGGACAATGCAGCCTTTGGGTCAGACGGCTGACTCTGGGGAGCCAGCAAGCCAGGCTTCAGTAAGGCGTGGAACCAGACCGTGTGCAACAGAACCACCTGGATGCTTATTAAAACTGCAGATCCCTGGGCCTCCTGGCACAGCAGTGACAGCAGAATCTCTAGGAGGGAGGCCCAGGGAATGTATTTTGACTCATTCTCGCAAAGGTAAGTTATAACTTTTCAGTGCCAAAATGCCTCTGTAATGAGGGTGATAATTAGAATTAAAATGCAAATTCTCATGAACTGATGGAGGCGGGAGGCAGCCCCAGATGCCTCCCCCAACCCCGGCTTTCTGTTGCCTTCTCTTTCCTTTTCTCGCACCTCCTGGTTTAGCTGAAGCCCCACCTCCTCCATAAATAGCGTCCTGGAATTCCATCTACCTGCTTCCTCCCTTCTCTGGGCTCCTGGAATGCTCACAGTGCGGTCTGCATGTTATCCAGGGTTCCACCAAGGCTGTTCAAATGTGTTAGGTTTTGTTTCTCAAACTAGTAGTTAAGAGCATTTTAATTTGTATTCTACCACTCAGCATTCTTCAATGACTGCCCTCTGGTGAATTAGAATGATAAAAGTGAACACCTAGAAATGGTTCCCGGGTGATCAAGAAAGAGCCATGGACTCAGAACTCTGAATATATACTGATTCCCTTGATCTAAAGATCCTAGCTTGTACTATTATGATCCCTACTTCACAGATGAGAAAATTAAGGCTCAGAGAGGTCAATTTGTGCGGGGTCACAAGAGTAGAACCACAGTGTGAACCCAGTTTGTTTGACCCCAGAGACCAAGCCCTTTCCCACTACATTGTGTCTCTGTGCAGCCGGAGAGCGTGGCCCTTAATGATAAGAATGATGATGCACGTGCTGAGCACGTACCAAGGCGGGGGACCCTGTGCTGAGCGCTTCACCTGCATCGCCTCTTTTCACCTGCAGAATGACTGTGGAGTTGCTTCCGCCGTTACCCCCGTTTTACTGCTGAGAACCTGAGGCTCAGAGAAGTGAAGCAGCTTGCCCCAGATCACAAGCTGGTAGATGATGGTGGTGGATCGGAACCCAGGACATCTGACGCCAGGGTCTGCGGTCTTAAACGCTACTGCTTTGGCCCAGCCCAATGCTCTGGACATCGGAGATGCTCCGAAGTACTTGCTAGGCTGAATCGCGCCAATGTCCAACCTTCTGAATTGCACCAGTGTCCCATGTGCTATGTAAACACACGGGGTGGTGCAGTGAGCTGCCTGGGCGGCTCTCCAGCCCAGCAGGCATATAATAAATGTAAGCTGCTGCCGACCCAGGTGTGCTTCCTGCCAACCACTCTCTCTCAGCTCAACCCATATACACACCATACACCCCTGCACACGCAACTCGTGCACTGCCCGTCTCCTTCGCTCACCGGGACAAGAAGCGCGTGTGTGACTAAGATCTCTGATGGCCAGCTGCCCCGAGGGGAAGCAGCACTGGCTGGAAGAGGTGCGGACCCCTGTGCAGTTGAATGCACTGACTTGCTTCGCAAGCGAGTTTACTAAGCACCTACCACGAGCCTGCATTGTGCTAGGTTCCTGCACATGGTACAGAAGAAGCAGTCAAGATTCTGCCCGCGGGGAGGGACGATCTATAATGAGCCGGCACGTCATTTTCGGTAGTGCTGAGGGGAGAGGAAGAGACTGACATAGGGATGGGAGTGGGTGGGGAAGAGTTCACAAAGCTAAAACCTAAATCATCCAAAGGAGCCAGCCAGGCAGCGCTTAACGCAAGTGTAAAGGCCCTAAGATGGGGAAAAGCTTGCTGTGATTTCAAAACAGCGCTCTGCAAGTTTTTCTTAAAAAGCCAGATCATGAATGTGTAACTACTCAACCCCGCCATGGTCGTGCGGTAGAAAATATGTAAACAAAAAGGCGGGGGTGGCTGTGTTCCAATGAAGCTTTATTTACAAAAACAGGCAGCAGGCTGGACTTCGCTGGCAGGTCATTGCCGACCCTGTTTGAGAACACAAAGGCGGCCTGGTAGGCTGCTGTGTATCCAGCGCGGGTGAGAGGGGGCCAGAGGGCAGGGGTGGGGCGGGGGACGTCCGCCCCGTCAATAATTCTGAGAGTGACAGGAGACGGCTGGAGCACAGCAAGCAGGGTGCTCGTAACATGATGGGACTTCCACTTTCCCAAGACGACTCTGGTGGCTGTGCAGGGCACAGGTTATGGGGGCAAGGCTGAGTGCGACAAGACCAGTTAGGCAGCTGGTGGCAATGCTCGGGAGAGACACGGGGACGGCTGGGGAGGCTGAAAGACTCCACCAGGGAACTCTGTGTAGGCCCAGTGCCTGACATGTTGTCGATCAGCAGAGGAAACCTGCGGCTGCCCTGATCTGCACTCAAGCCACACCCTGAGCCCCAGGAGTGAAGGATCCCGGCCCGTCTCCAATCTTGATGACAATATCCCAAGAGCCCAATGTTAGTGAATGCCGTGTGAATTTTCCAGGTATCGCTAATCACACTGCTTCTAGATGACTAATGTTCCTGAGGATACCAGCTATTTCTCTTTCCGGTTACTGTCTGAGGTTCTCTTGGTGAAAAGGACAGTTTCCTAGTAGACTGGCGAGGGCTGACACTGGACTTCTTTCCGCGCATTGCGCATCCATTGCCCAGTGCACAAAGTCCAAAAGCTGACTGAGCAGCCTCCCCAGATTTGCATGGGGCCCCTGGACTCTGGAGACTTGGAGATTAACTATTATGAACAACAGACTTTCCCCTCGAGGTGCCCCTCCCTCCTCCTCCTCCTGATTCCTTCTTGATCCTGAAACCACACAGACACACACACAGTCATTAGGAAACTTCTGATTAGTCTAATGATTTAATCTGCCAGCGACAAAGCATCCAACTGAAATCACCCGTATCTGCTATCTCCAGCAATAAATTACCAAGAGATAAACAAGGAAAGGATCTCCCTCGCACGTGAATGGTTCTTTTTCCCGCTAATGCCCGATTTCTCCCATAAGGCTGAAGGGAGGGGGGAAACAGGGTCTCAGGAGCATCCTCTAAAAATTCAACATCATAAAATATTCCCAGCCAAACTAGTCTAAAAACTGGATTGACATTTTGTCACACCCTTCTTCGACTGCAGCCCAGTGAACACTGAGAGGTGTTGTCTTCGGGGCTTAATTTGGCCTTTTGCTCTTCAGGGAATCTGAAAGGTTACTGGCATTGCTGGTTAAAAAGAAACTAGTGTCAACAAACTTTGCCATGACCCCCAGAGACCACAGGAAGGTGGGGTGGGGCCTCTGACTCTCTCCTGCTCTCATTCGTCCTTATAGGATTTATGATGATTACCTAGTTGTAGGACAGAAATAGTCCCAGAACCTGCTGGAAGTCACAGACTTGGCAGTTAAAAATCCCCCAGTATCTTTTTTCTTTTCTTTTTTTGGTTAGCTAGTTAGACTGATTCAAAAGGAAACTTAAAAAAAAAAGTGGAAGAAGGTAGGAATGTCAAAAGTGCAACACCATTTGGAAATCAGTAGGGTAGTTCCTCAGTTAAACACAGACTTATCTATGACCCAGGCATCCCATGCCTGGGTGGATTACCAAGAGAACGGAAAACATATGTCCTCACAAAAACTTATATGCAAATGTTCATAGGAGCGTTACTCATAACAGCCCAAAAGCAGAAATAATCAAAATGTCCATCAATAGATGAATGGATAAACAAACTGTGGTATATCCATACAATAGAATATTGCTCGGCAAGAAAAAGGAATGAAGTTCTGTTGCATACTACAACCTGTATGATGTTGAAGATACTACGCAAAGTGAAAGAAGCCAGTTACAAACACCATATACTATATAATTCTATCCACAGAAACATCGGAGCAGGCAAATTTATAGCGACAGTAAGTAGATTCGTGGTTGCCTAGGCTGGATGGAGTAGGGTTGGGGGTAAATGGGGCATGAATGCTAAAGGGAACAGGGTTTCTTTGGAGGTAATGACATTCTAGAGTTAGATAGTGGTGATGGCTGCACAAGTCTAAATATACTAAAACCCACTGCATTATACATTTTAAACGGGCATATTGTACGGTCAGTGGCTGTCTCAATAAAGCTGCTCGAAAAAAACTAGAAGTGGGTTGCACTTAGGAAGAGGAGTCCCAAACAGGACAGACACACAGGCACACACAGACCTCTTGAGAACTCAAACCAATTCCGCCCCTGGGACCAGGGTTCCTTCATGTTGTCAGAGTGAATAGCTGATGGGAACATGGTGGTCCCTGCCAAAGGGAGCAGTGAATTGTGGTTTAGAGGACAGACCTTTAAGCACTGGATTCACCTGCATATGTAGGGGTCTCTCAAATCTTGCTCATCTGTAGGCAGAAGCACCCCAGCCCCACTGGCTCAGAAGGTTGAAGGCCACTGAGTGTGACCTGGGAGTCCCCCAGAGACTCTGAGCCCTATTTCACATTCTGTCTACCCATACCCGAATCTGATCTGCGCCATGCTGGATGCAGGGGCTGGGCACACAGAGAGGCAGGGCCTCTGCATGCGGATGCAGTCAAGGCTGGTCCCCAGGAGCCCAGCTCTGTGCTGGCTGGGACCCCAAGACCCTCACCTATCGCCCAGCCGGGAGAGCCAGGTCTGGGTCATATCAGCAAAAAAGAAACTATAAGAGCATCAGGGTCTGTTTCTAAGATGGACATAATCAAGATGATGATCATCATCGTAACAATGGACACAGTGAAAGCTTAGTATGTGCTGAGTACTAATTTGAAAATGTGATGTTCACTAGCTTGATTTCCTCTCACAACCATCTGTGATGGTTCTGTGACAGAGGGGAGAACTGAGGCACAGAAAGGTTAAGTCACTGCTCGGGGTCACACAGAAGCACGTGGTCCAGCCAGGAAGTGCGCTTCGGTGGCCAGCATCTAGAGCTCTGGCTCCCCAGGGCTATGTGGGATTCTTGGCTGCCCCGTCCTGCTGGCAGGCAGGAGGAGGTGTGGTCCAGGCCCAGGCAGGGCCGCGCAGCCACAATGGGAAGGGATGCTGGGGCCCTGTGCATTCACCCCTGCCAGGGAACGGTGCCTCTGCCCCACCTGAGGTCACGAAGGGAGGCCCAGAAAATGTCTAGTTCCTGAAACCAGGCATCTGGTTTTTGCTTCTTCCTTTGAGCAAAACAAACAGACCTTTTCACCCAAGAATCCAGAAGGATTAACCCCCAAGGAGAACTTCATCTGGGGGAAATCTCAGCTGTAACAGAAACTTGGGCTTTTCCCCAGAATCCTGATTTTGCTCTTGGGCAAAATAAGTTACGAAAAATTATGACATCAATTCCATCAATTTTCATTTTTCAAAATATTCCTCCCCGCTCCATGCTTTTTTTCAAAGAGAGGAAAGCAAACAAATGGAACAAAGACATGGTGCACCAAGCAAGGTGCAGGCCCACGGGGCAGGTGCCCTGAATCCACTTCCCCACCAGGATGCCTGTGCAGGACAGCTGGTGCTCTGCAGGGGTGGTCTGACTCTGGGGTCACCTAGGCGCTCCCAGCAGCTGCGGGAGGATGAGCAGGGACGCAGTGCAGCTTATTTGCCCCGAGCTCACCCAAGGCCCGGCCATCTCGGAAACCGGCCTCGCCTGCTGCAGACAGTGAATCCCACCGAAGCCCAGAGGATGCGCGCAGACCCTGCGGCCTCAAAATCCCTGTTCTTAACTCCTTCATCTCCTCCCTCCATCCAGCTCCAGATGCTCAAAGCCTGTACCGGGGATCATCGGATTTAATGCCCATGACATCTTGATGACAGTCTCTGCTAGACTGCAGAGTTAATGACACTTGTCCCCTCTTGGCAGGGCCTCCTGAGGTCCCGCCACTGCGCCTCTTACTTTGGGAAGAGAAACACACACACACGCACACACGTGCCTTTGCGGTCTTACCTGTTCTACTGAGCTGTTCCCCAGGTAGAAAGTAACCGACCGCTCCAGTTACTGCTTTGCGTCCCCCCCACATCTCTGCAGGGGGGAGGAGAGACTCACCGTTGTCGAAGACCGTCCCTGCTGTGAACGACAGCTCGGAGTCGTGTTCTGCTTTGCAGGCATACAAGGCTTTTGCCTTCCGGAACGGCATGCTGGAGAAAACAGGAGTTTATTTAGCATTTTTTAAAAGCCCTCTGAAAACCCCCGGTATTTCATCTCTCTTCCTCCCCTTCCCCACAAGCCATCTAGCCTTCTCTCATGGGAAGAGCCTGACAAGGCAGCCAGATGGCAAAACACGAGGCAGAAAAGCTGCAAAGGTCACCAGAGTGAGAACGAGAAATACTCAGAGGGAAGCCGCGAGCCGGGAGAAACCTCACTCGTCGTGGGGTGACCTTGTTTCGCGTTAAAACCCCCACTAGGAGTTAACAACAGCTGAGCAGCAGGAGGGCAGGCTGCACCCCATTTCTGGAGCAGGACTAGCTGGGCAGGAGGGAGGTGGAGGCAGGAAAGAGCTTCCAAGTGGCTCTGGGGAACACTCCCGGCAGACCCTGCTGAAGGTTGGCCAGGCTCAGTGAGTCAAAAAGGAGAAATTCTAGCAAAGCCAGGTTTCGGCTCCAGGCCCCGGGCGGACATGAGCTCTCCCAGATGTTACTTATTTCCCACTGGGCTGGTGGAGCAGGATTCCAGAGCTGGAACTCCCCGACCCCAGGGTAGGGCCGGGAACAGACAAGGTGTGGGTGTGAGCAGTTACACACGTGTGTGTGTGAGAGCACGCATGTGCGTGTGTGGGGAGGGAGAAGGGATGGGCGACATGATGCCATTTTTTGTGCCTGTCTCATATCCAAGGCGTGCTGACTACCGCTCTCGCTGTGTACTGGAACCTCCAGGGGAACCTTAACAAATGCAGATGCCCGGGATCTCCCCTGACTTGCAGACGTAACTACAGCCATCAGTATTTTCATAAAGCTCTCCAAGTGACTCCAGTGTACAACCAGGGCTGAGAACCATCCTTCCAGAGCACGGGTTGGCAAACTTTTTCTGTAACGGGCTGGACAGTAAATAGTTTAGGCTTTGTGGGCCATCTGGTCTCCGTTGCAATGACTCAACTCTGCATCGTAGCGCAAAAGCAGCCACAGACAACACGCAAATGAATGTGCGGCTGTGTTCCAGCAAAACTTTCCTTACAAAAACCAGGTGGCGGGCTGGATTTGACCCAACGGCCAGAGACTGCTAACCCTTCTTCTGGAGAGCAAGTTGCAAGTACTGCTGAATTCAGTTGCTGTCTATCAATTTTTGCTTTAATATCCAACTAGGTCCAAATGATCTACGGACTTCTTCTCAAGGGTCACAAGAAAAATGACATTCAGCAGTCAACAGTTGGCTCTGTATTTGCTGAAAGCAATCTCCTTCTCCTTCTAAGCCACCTGAATTCATATTTAGGGGCTCCAGGGCAGACTTACAAAGGAGCAAGGAGGTCCTCTGGGACAGACAATTATTCAGGGGGTATATATGATTTACTTCACATGTATGGTCTTCATCTGGCTAACGCAGAGTCTTAAGGACCCAGTGAGGCTAACCCTCCATGGCACACTGATTTCTCGTGGCTGAAGGAGATTTAGCTGAGCGCTGGCCGGTCTCGGGTAAATCCAGACAGAAGCAGAAGGGGCAGGGCGTCACGGGTCCTTATGGGGCTGTTACTTCTCGGAGTCACCAAGTCAGCTTCCCTTTGGGAAAGAGGAACCAGGGATGCTTGGAAAACTATACCAGGACCAGGCATCTCAAACTTTTAGTCCTGGTTTCATGAAAACGGAAGGAAAGATGACTTAAAGGGTCTGTTGTGCACAATGATCGGACAAATGGTGATCCAGAAGTTGTTCACTGGTGGTCTCTCTGGTCTTTCAGTAGCCAGAAGAGGACGGCCAGGTGGGAGAAAATGGGGAAAGTGGGAGAAGATGAAGTGAGTCCCCTGGGAGTGAAGGGAGGAAGGGCCTTTAGAATGTATCAGCTCCAACTGGAAAGCAGCTCTTCCTGTGTAATTATCATAAATGTCAGAATCAAGGTCGGGACAAGGGGGCATATTCTGTGATCTAACTGAACCAGGTCTGTACGTGGGCCAGCAAGGGCCCAAACAGCTGATGTGCAACTAAAATTGTGGCTTTTGTTTTTTGTCTTTGGAGGGAGTGGGGAGCAGAGAGGAGGAGTCACCTTGTTATAAAGTGTTCAAACAGCCCAAATCCTGTACTGACAGGCAAGGGGAGCCTGCTGTGACCTGGAAAGTGGAAGGAGAATCCAGTGGACATAAGCCAGGGTCATTGTCCCTTGAGGACAGGGCAGAGCAGGCGGGGAGAGAGCAAAGAGACTAGGGACGGGGAGATAAAAGGTGAGGTAAAAATCACCCGAGGCCAGGCTCTTCCGGCTGGATTCTCAGAGAGGTTACTTATTAACCTCATTTAATCCAGGGAACGGGCCAAAACAGGGGCAAGCCAGGGAAACCAAATGGGGTCCCTGGCAGGAAAGAAACAGAAGGAACAGCCTCACGTGCCCAAGACTATCATGCTTTTCCACTAATATCAGGCTTTGGGAACTGAATAATGATAATATTTAATAAAACAGTAGGTGAAAAATAAAAATGAAGGTCAGGAAAGGGCCCTCCTTTTCTCTCAAACAGGTGACTGCCAGTCCACGAGAAGGCCTTCTCCCCTGAGACCTCCTCCCGCCCCCCTGGGATGTGCACAAGAATGGCAGGGATGACAGAAGGAGTGCATTTAAAAGAGGTTACTCCTCTTGTAGGCTTTGGCTCTGAGTAAAGAAATAAAAAATTGCCGCCAAGCATCTTTGATTCTTTGGCTTCCCTGTTCTCTGCAGAGAATCTCAACACTGGACACAGAGAGCCTGGGGTGCCGCTGGCTGTCCTGAGACAGTGCCCTTCAGACCTCAGCTGGGCCTGCAAGGGCACGGACCAGCTTGGAACCTGCTGCTAGTTCATTTTTAATTTTCACTTCTGAGCATGGCACGAGGCCTGGAAAGCACTCAGAGCGGCTTCCCTCAAGCGCCCTTGCAAACCCTGCAGAATGACCACCTATTCTCCACTGTATGGGGAGGTGGGCTCAGTGAGTCTGGTACATGGCAACGGCTTGATCACTTAGGCATAATTTCCAGGGGCCCCTGTGTGAATGCAAGGTATGAGTCTGGGACCGGGAGCTTTTCAAGGGGTGTGAGGAAAAGGAAGAGGAAATGCTCTTCCAGTCCCTTTTCTCTGCTGTGCTGTGAAAGGCACCTCCGGCCCTGAGCCTTGACTAACAAGCACTGACAACCCACAGGAGAGGGAGGAGGGAGGCCGCTTCCATAGGGGACGTTATATAGGAGTTCACGGGCCCACTAATGAGGTCTAATTGGGTTTTTACTTTTAAAAGCTCTGCCCAGGGAAGGAAGTCTGAAGCTTCATGTCTGGGAAGGGGATTTGGGGGAAGGATCCATTGCACCTGACTCAAGGGTGCATGCCCCCACCTGTTGGCTGCCAACTGCGACAGCGCTTAGGGGATCTTGTCCTCTCCTTGGCTAGCTCCCCACCAGGACTGCCACCCGTGCTGCCATCCATGCCCACCCTGGCACACAGTCAGCTCAGTAACAGCCAATTCCAAGCCCTGCTCCGCCTTGCCTATTTCAAAATGGCAGCTTCCTAAAGGGCTGTGGAATGGCATCGTCCAAACGGTGCCATATGATGATGGCCAGAGTGATCGGTACTGAGTAACTGTGACCCCAAACACACGGGGTGGGCAGACTCTACTGCTACTGTCCTCTGCCAATCCGGAAGTACTTCGGGGGATGGAAGGGAGAGGAAAGGTGGAGACACTGGACAGGCAACAGGGCCCCAGGCTTAGAGACCCAAGAAAATGAATACTGTCAAAGCGGTGAGTACATTTTAGTTTTTTAGCCAAAAGATTCCACTGTCCTGAGTGGCCCAACCCATTCAGCCCAAGGGTCAGTGTTTTGAAGATGTTACTTCCTTTTGATCAAAACGAAGGAGCCACATTCTCCTAATGCCAAAGTATCTTTCAGGAATGAGTGAGGCATTCTGAAAGCTGACTCTCTCTCTGGTCACTGTAGCTGGCTTTGGTTCAGGTCCTCATGGGGCAATCAATAATCTAACCACAGCGATCCAAGCCATATCTGGTCTCCTATGAACGTTTCCCAAAGTGTCCCAGATACATCTAAGAAATAATTAGGGAATAACTTGAGTATCAGGAAAGTATCATCAGAATTTTTACCTTACTCCCAGGGTGAGGATAAAAGGATATGGTAAAAAGCTATCTCTTCCACCTTCAAAGGTGAAGCCAGACAGAAAACCTAGAGGAGGAGGCCAGGCTCTGGGGCTGCCAAACATGGAAACTTAAATTTCGGGCCACCCATGTGGTTGGAGGAAGGCGTGCTGGCTGAGGACAAGAAGTCCTGAGTTCTGGCCTGGCTCTCACCAGTCAAGTGACTGTGTACAAGTCACTTCTCAGTGCCTTAGTCATCCTTCTCTGTAATAGGTTTCAGGCCTTTTCTTCTCCCACATATAGAATTGTATATACAATTATATATATAATATATATAAACTTTTCTTTCTCCTCCAGGCACTTTCATATCTATCCTTTCATTCTCTCTCTCTCTCTATATATATATATGAATATATCAATAGCATGGGGTTTCTTTTTTTTTAAAAGTGAGACTTGTCTTTACAAGTTATTTGAGCCTCTCTGCTGGGCCCATCCCTTAGGAAAAAACCAGCTATGAGAAAAAGATGGACGAGAAAACTCTGCCAAGGCTGCAGAGCCTCATGATGCTCATAACTGCGCTCTCCACCCTGGTTGTCTGGGAGCAGAGACACACGGGCTCGCAGCCTACACAGCAGAGGGCTCCTGTTCTTTTCCTGGAGTGAAACAGCATCTTTTCTCCAAAGAACTCAAATGCAAACAATGCAGTCTGGACGCCCTCAAAGCAGGGAAGACCTGCAGCACGGCCCTTGGGGAGCGCAGCTAGGTCAGCCCTGCGAGAGAGGTGTCGCCTGTCCCCACGAGAGCTGAGGGTTCATGACGGGGGGAGACGGAAGCAGGCTGGGAGCACGGAAGGTTCCTGGGACGACACGGAAGGTAAGGAGGCAGCCAGGAACAATTTAAAGAGAAACTGCTGCCCATCTAGGGCCTTTTTTCTGTGTCATATTCGTCTGTCTTCCACCTTGTCTGGAGCTCGGCAGCTAGGTGTCAGAACTCACGGCTGACAGCCCAGCCCCACAAATCAACACGGCCTGATGCTACCTGACAAATGTGAGGGAAGAAGAAAGAGGCTGGTACATGTCTCAGCACTGTCCCTCGGGTGTTGTCTTATGCTACAGTGCAGAGAGCCCCAGGATTCAGAGAGCAAACCAAACGGGAGTCCACTCAAGAGGCACTCTTTCCCCCCAGTTCAGGCGTCACGGACTAACTCAGCAGCCGGAGGAAGGGTTCTAGAAGGGCATGGGAAATGCCATGCCTGCTCATGCTAGTGGTCCCTCCCAGCTTTGGTCTCTGAGGCTGGACTCCCGGGGGGGCAGAGGCTGGCCACCCCCATCTTCCCTGACCAGCCTTGGATAAACGGGAACGGATCGGTCAGCATCCGTGATTTTACCTGGAGTCTTCGCGAACCGCTTCTTCTGGCCTGTCAAAAAGCAAGTGCAGGTTTGGATGGCAGGGAACAGAGTTGACGAGGAGGCTGAACACTGCATGAAGAGAGGACCAAGCCAATGAGAGGACAACAGCAGCAACAGAAAAGCACACAAACCCTGCAACAGACCTGATGGGGGAGGAGTCGCTGGACGTGGATGAGGTGGGCATAGGGCTGGATGGCGCCGAGAACAGGGGCCAAGATGGCGAGAGGGGTGAAGTTGGGCTTGGATTCGGGGGGCTGCAAGACATAACCACCAGAAAACTCGTCAGCACACACAGAGACCACAACGGGAGCATGGGAGGTTCACGGGAGGCCACATGACAGGGAGCTGGAGAGACTGGAGCAGCCTCGAACCCCAGGACGTGTCCTCCGTGCCAAGGTCACATTTCTCCACACCAAACCTCCATGTCTTCCACGTAACGCCTGTTCTGGAATTCCTCGGGGCGTTAACATGTCTCTCTGCTCCGCAGAACACCTGCTTTCTAGGTGACAGGAGCTTCTTCAGTCGTGCCCCTTGTGCCTCTGGCCATCGATGAAAATTGCCCTGAACCCATGTCCACGGGTTCCCAGACCCACACGCTATCACCAGCCTCCACTATAGCTTATAACCAGCCTTCAGCTTTCCCTGCGGTGGGAGTGTTTCTAAAGCTGTGTCTCAGCAAAAGTGACCATTTTTCTGGGCCACACAGGCCCTTCCACCAGAAGACAATTTCCTGTTTACATTTTTAAGGAAATGGGCTGCGTGCCATTGGAAACTCAGAGAAGGACCACAGGAGAAAAGTGACAGCCGAGGAGGAGGGAGGCTGGGTCTGGACACTCGCCTCCCGGGAGAGGGCACGCAGTCACGGGCAGCGTGCAGTCGTCCCGCTGAGGTTTGCTTTCCAGGTGGACTCTTTCTCTTTTCATGGATCTTGGACATTCTGATGCTCAAAGAGAAAGCCCCAGAGGGAAGGCAAAGAAAAAAAACAGGGAACTGAAAACTCACATCTGTCATTTTGTTCTTTGATGGGTGGCTGATCAAAAGTTTGGAGAGGCAAAGTTGAAATTACTCACTAAAATACGGTTGATGGATTTTAACTGGTCACGCTAGCCCTTTGACTCATTTCCACAAATTACACAAACAAACAAACATCTTAGTAACTCTGTAAAATCGCATTAAGTCACCGATAGTGCAAACACCAATGACTGGAAAAAAAAACGTGGAAATCACCCAGCCACAACACCACCTGTGGCCCCTGAGCCCCAGCCGACTGCTGGATTATTTGGCCCAAGTTCTTTACGGAGGT